ACTTCAACTGGTGTTTTCAGTAGAGAAATTATGTGGTTTTGTCTAAAATAACACTACAAATGTCATACTGTAATACGCGGGTATATCATATCTTTACCTGCTTTAGTCATAAAAATATTTTTAAAAATGTCCGGTTATTTAGTTTCCATGCTGTAATTGCAGCAACATGTGGCTCAAAGAATCGTTAACATTAACTATTTCAAATTTGTTTCTTTGTTTTCTATAATAGGTAATGTCCCCTCTACTCATAAGGATATTGTAGTAATATATATCATCCGAGTTAAAAAGGTTGAGACCTAAATGATACTTCGTTTGGCGATTATGACGTTGACACTGTGATGGAACAAAAGTCCCGAGATTATCGTTATTACCGCTTAGGGGTAAAGGTAAGTTATTACAATCAAGTCATAGCTGTTTATCTACATGTATTTAATTGTTTAAGTCATGTACATCAAACATTAACCGAATATTTGTACGGTATTACAATAGTATAGTTGTTTCTGTCAACTTTCATGGGTATTAAAAATTTGGCTTCTACAGTGTATGTGTATTTTTCATTTCAGGGAAGTTGAATAATTGTGAGTTTATTTTTGTGTTTCAGTACCTTTTCCCCTACTCCCAGTGTGTCAGGCGGAAAGGAAGTATCTTGCCTATTGTGTAGTTCGTTACTAAAACAAACAAACAATTTTCAGTATTTCACGCAAAGCTACAACGGCTACCTTGCCCATAGTCGCCCTAATTTTGAACTAATAGATTAGATAGAAGGCAGCTAGCAAACAACACCCTCCGCCAACTCTTCGGATACTTTTTTCTTACCGAACAGTGAAATTTGACCACATTTTTACAGCGCACCCACGATTCCAAAGTACGAAGTGCGTGTTTACGGCAACAGATCAATTATCATGAATTCAAGTACGTTAACAACTAGGATACTAAGGTACACATTGCCAGGGAGGTAGGAGAAGGGACAAAACTCGTACTTACCTGTATGCGGTCAAGTTTAAAATCTGTTCTAAAACTGCCAATAAAGTAATAAGTCTAAATATGAGAAATAAGTAAAAGCCGTTACGTATTCTTTCGAACATTTGAGTTTTCTCTATGGTAGGCTTTTCTGTAAAGTACGAAATAAAACTGATACAAATCCACATGTGCCTTTATATTGTTGTAAGAAACAACTGAATTGATTGATTTATTTCTCCCACTTAGAAGTAGAATTATTGTAATAATCTTAGTTTTAATTAACAAATATATTTAATACCCTCATTTCTAAGTATTATAGATTTACTTTAACTAACTTTCTTATATCAATTATAAATAACAACACAAAAATAGAGATACATCCTTCCGGTATTTCGAGGTAGAATAATTAAGCATTAAATCCACTATGATAAATATGAATAGTGACATTTAGTGGGATCATTAACGTAAAAGATGTTTTATGTGTAACAAAAGAATTTGACTATGAAATAGATATTTTAGACCTATGTAAGCTAATATGTGATCCAGAAAAAAACAGACATTCTCGTATGACGTAAAAATTACATCATCGATAACTCTTCCTCTAGCAACAATTCACGTGAGCTGATAAAAAATGTGTCAAGCCTACGAAGCAAGGGTGGAGCTCCTAATCTACTGATCGACCCATATTCTCATCACTATATAAGCGCGAATGTTTCAGTAGAAATCACCATCTACAATCCAAACATCTCTGCAGAGGAAGTTTGAAGGAAAGTGGAAATAATTATAACAAAAGAACCAAGATGTTGGGAAAGGTATGTTATAGATATACAGATACACTCTTACATATGAAAGCATTATCATTGATCAAATATAATAAGAAGTCAGCTGCTATTGGATGAAAAGTAATGGGTAACATGGATATTTAATTAAACAATAGCGTTAAATTTTAACCTTATGTAATAGTTTTAAGTTTGTAATTTGATAAAATGAGAATGTTTTACCCATTGATATAAATAAAAAAATACCGTAAACACAAGGTTTAAAGACAAAAGAAATAGTTCTTTAATATGAAGAGATAATTTTATTGTTCTGTGTTCACGAATTACTCACATTAAGGCCAAAAATTTACGTTAAAAGTAACGTTTCATATCTTGTTAACGCTGTTTTAATATTTATTGGTTTTATTTGTTAACCATGATTAAAATTTCGAGAATAATAAATCTTAAATCTTTTGGTAAAACAAATGCGTGTCGGAGCTTTAGTACTTTAAAAGATTTTATTCTTTTAAAAGCAAACAACTCTTCGTTTAGGCTTAGTAACAGGAAATATTTAACGTTTTTTTTCAGCTTCGTACTTAAGCTCCTTTTTTAATAAAATTTTTAAATCATTGGAAATTTTAAAATCTTAAACTGAAACTCTTAATTTTACGTATTTATTCAAGAACTCGAAATAAAAGTTTTGCATTGCATACAGTGCAATAAAAATGCTATTTTCTACGTTTTCAAGTTTATGAATATACGTTACAATAATGTTTTGTAGTTTTATTTCTTAGGAAACTTATAACAAATAAAAGCAATTTATATAAATTAGCTTACATAAGCAGGAGAAGCTGCCGGTAGGTATCCAGAGAGAGCTCCAGCAACAAGACACAGCAAGATCACGGTCTAAAAGTAAGAATGGTAAATGAACTCTCCAAAGGCGACGATTACATTATCTCCTGTCAGCTAACTTAATATTCTACTTAATATCAGTCCAAAGAAAATTATTTGTAACTAATAATCGTAAGGGGTAGGGATGTTGATTTCCTGTTTAACAACAGACAGTTCTATGTTTGAAAGATAATTTGTGAATGGATTGTTCAAAATTAAAGTTTATCTTACTAATATGTGATTAAAAAACATCGTTTACCTAGTCCCAAAATCTTACTCTGTCGTTCCAAAATCGACGGTTATACGCTGGGTCAGTGTAGCCATAGGAACCCTGCACTCTACCGTTACCATCTCCACTCTCTTGACGGCTCTGTCTGGTGCCGTACTCATCAACGGTGTCGTAGCCAGTTTTAATTACTTGTGGTTACGTGCATTTGCAAAGCAATAAATTCTGTAAGAATAATTTTGTCTACACTTTTCACAGTAATACCAGTATTATTGTTGGATATTATACATTCATATAAAAAACAAAACAACAACAACATTCAAACCCAGCACACCCAAGCACACAATGTATTATTTCGCCAGGTCGATTTATCAAAATTTTAATTTTGTAAGTATTTACTGCCAGCCTTGGTAATATTTACTAGGATAAGACAGAGGAAGTCGTGCCTTAAGAACGGGAGCAGCTACGGCAACCTTGGGGACAACTGGAAGGGAAGCATAAGCTGGAGCAGCAACCACCTTTTTTACAACGGGACGGATAGCAGCAGCAGGAGCAGGAGCGGCAGCCTGAGAGTTGATTTCAACATCAGCGGGGTTCTGGTTATCGGTTCCAGCTTCGTTTGTTGAAATCCAGGCACGGAAACCACCTTCATCAGCAACGTATTTTACCTGACGGTTGGTGCCCCAATTAGCTGTGAAAGTAAATGTGTACATACAGGTAAATACCTTGTAGAATGCATTTAGATATTTATTTATTTCAATAAATAATTGACTTGTTTCTGATCCACATTGTAAGCCTTGAATTTCTCTTAAAATTTGTTTATCAGCTTACTTTCGCGCATATTTGATTATTACGTGAAACTAATAAACCTTATTCGATTTAAAATTTAACAAATTTCTCTTAACTAATAAAATAAACCCTTACACGAATATATATACATATTATTTAATCAACATCTGTTTTGTACAAAATATAACTCTATACGTTAGGCTTAACTTAAAGTCATTAATGCAATGGTTCGAAACGTCAACGGTGGCGGTTGCCAATTCTAATCGGATATAATCTTTCAAATCTCACACACACATATATATATATATGCGTATGAATGAACATTCACGATCACCACTTATTTCATTACGTTTCACTGAATCATTGTCTTTTTTTATAAGTGCGATTGGAATATTAACTCATTTATCGCATGTTACAACTAGAATCTTTAATCATCACATTTTTCGTAGCTTTCAAAAAATCTTGACTAATTAACTTGATCATCTATATTTTTCTATATTTAACACAAAAGGAAGCTTAACGAGGCACAATCGACACGTGTTTACTTGTACTTTGAAGTGAATCATAGTGACTTATAACAAATCAACTACAACTGTGATGGTTTAATGTCTCATATAAGTTTAAACTTTAATTAAAAACAGTATTTAGAAAAAAACATCACAAGCCGATTTTGTTTTTTGTTTGTAATTAAGCACAAAGCTACACAATGGGCTATTCGTGTTCTGACCGCTACGGATATGGAAACCAGGTTTCTAGCGTTGTAATTCCGCAGAGATACTGCTGTGCCACTGGGTGATCAGCCGAACAAGCGACATTATCTTATACCAGTCGTATTTTACGTAATTTAAGATTAGACAGAACTTGATGTTGGTGAGACAAAGATTAGACTGAACGTGATGATGACAAGACAAAGACTAGACTGAACTTGATGGTGGTCGTATCTGACAAAAACAGAGAGCAATACATAATTATATAAAAAAAAAGATTTCTATAAGCTAAACAAGATATGTTTTTCGTATAACACGCGTCTTTGAAGCTTTTAGACTTTGAAAGTACAATTAATAGAAAATGTAACATATTTAGATGTATATATGTTAAGCTGCAATGTATATGATGAATTAACATGGATAAATTGCGACCTTTTCTTATAAGAAGGCTTTGTTCGTCATTGGTCTTAGTTAGGATTTTGAAGTAATTTGTATTGACGACCACGTCACACTTACCTAAGGCATTTTATAATACATACGCTCGATTAATTCGTTGTCTTTAAATTTGCATGTTCCTACATACTAATCTTCAACCAGAGTCATACCATGGGTGGTGCGAGAGATGAGCCCGAACTTATGGCCGACACGTATGGGCACAAGTTTGCATACTTGTAGGCAAAGATAGATTTAAATCTATTGTGAAGGGGTGCAAAATCTCTCACTGAGCGCCATCATCGATCAGCACCGTCCACTCTGCAACCATCACGTGGTGGATCTAATAGAAAATGTGTACAATATGAATGTCTCTAGCAGCTCAGATGTAAGCTAGGGAGCTTATAACGTGGCAATATAAACAAACAAACAAACAATAAAACATAGGCCACTAAACTGGTAAACTTCATCTGGTGTTTTCAGTGGAGAAATTATGTGGATTTGTCTAAAATAACACTACAAATGGCATACTGTAATACGCGGGTATATCATATGTTTACCTGCTTTAGTCATAAAAAGATTTTTAAAAATTTCCGGTTATTTAGTTTCCATGCTGTAATGGCAGCAACATGTGGCCCAAAGAATCGTTAATATTACCTAATTCAAATACACTTTGTTTCTTTGTTTTCTATAATATGTAATGTCCCCTGATCTCAAGGGGATATTGTAGTAATATATATATATATATCATTCGAGTTGAAAAGATTGAGACTTAAATATACATTGCTTGGCGATTATGACGTTGACACAGCCGTTTGATACTGTGACGGAACAAAGGTCGAGAGGTGACGCTGTCAACTGGACTAAGATTTCATTTCTGGTACACTTTCTTCAACCAGATTTTACTGAGAAATTTGAAGCGAATACTTTTTAAAACAACGTATTGTAGTTGTAGAGATGTTAATCTTGAGGAAGAGGAAACTGTGGAGCTAAACACAACCAAGTGTAATTGGTTTAGGTTTGTTTTGAATTTCGCACAAAGCTACACGAGAGCTATCTGCGCTAGCCGTACCTAATTTAGCAGTGTAAGACTAGAGGGAAAGCAACTAGTCATAACCACCCACCGCCAATTCTTGGGCTACTCTTTTACCAACGAATAGTGGGATTGGTCTTCACATTATAACGTCTCCACGGCTGAAAGGGCGAGCATGTTTGATGTGCCGGGGATTCGAACAGACATGCCCGCAGATTGCGAGTCGAGCGCCCTAACCACCTGGCCATGCCAAGCCATACTTTGACGAAGAAAATAATGTAAATGTATTTTGGTAAAGTACCCAGAATGGCAATAACGTAACTGGAGATAAAATGATTTTCATGTCCTTTAAAGTTTGAAAATAAATGAATTGTATAAACAATAGGTTTATGGCGTTGGAGGTTAATGCAGAAAGCTATAACTGTTCAGAAAAACTGGATGTGAATAAAATAAAGTTAGAATTATTTTTCATTTCATTTCAATGTTAGAAAACATCCTTTCAGTGGCGTAACTAATAAAGATGACCACCTTGCATAAAAAACAATTGGGCCCTCTATATATATTTCCCTATAATTGTAGATACGATTCTGGCTGAATGACATCATCAACTTAATAGAATAGTGCAATCGCTCTTTAGTGCAAACATATTAAATTGTATGTCTCTTCTCTTGTCGATAATTCATACATTTGTCAGGCCCTTTGAGCTACCTTTTGGTTCGGCCTCCCTCCGGGCAATTGCGGGGACTGCTGGGGCATACTTACACCACAGCACTCACTATAAACTAGGTTTATATATTTATTTCGCAAACCTTTGAAAATTGCGTTCAAAGGTTAAGCATGATGCCTATTTTTATTTTTTTGGGAAACGCTGAAAAAATAAAGATTTGTTACATGAACGTCATATGAAAAAATCTTAAAGAAAATGACAGTTTAGTATTCCGGTCATAAAAGCATGTCAGATTCATTGAAATCGGGTGTTTCCGGAACGGGAAAGCATGCAAGTTGATATATCTGGGGTACTCTAGATATCTAATGGTGTTATCAAGTAAGACGGTAGGTTAATAGCACGATTATTAATTGTTCTTTTTTATATAGAACAATTCTCTTTATGAAGCACAGTTGCAGCTTATTTCAGATGCGTTACAAAATGCCGAGTAAAAGTCTGTTCAATTTCTTTCTTAATGAGAAGCTGCATACTTTAAAGAACAATTAAACGTACATCAGATTAGAGTAGCTTGTTGTTGGCTAGCTGCCTTCCTTCTTGTTTACCAATTCAAAATTAGGGATGACTGTGTGAAAATAACTTTTTGTGCAGCTATGCGCAAAAATACTATACAAACCTTAATTTTGAGCTGATAGACTAGAAAGAAGTTATCTAGAAAAAAAAACCAACGCTACCGCGCAGGCTTCTTTTGTCTGATAGAAAACTGAGATTTCACACTTACTATTTTAGAGAACCCACTCCCCATTCTTGTGTAGACAGGCAGTAAACCATGACTCCTGGATATTAGTTCTAGTAAACAAGTTTTCTGTGTGGCTAGAGAAAGGGTTTTAATAACTTAGCAAGGGTAAAACTATAACACTGTGGTCTTTGATTTGTTTTGAATTTCGCGAAAAACTACACGAGGGCTATCTGCGCTAGCCGTCCCTAAATTAGCAGTGAAAGACTAGATGGAAGGCAACTAGTCATCACCACCCACCGCCAACTCTTGGGTTACTCTTTTAACAACAAATAGTGGGATTGATCGTCACATTATAACGCCTCCACGGCTGAAAGGGCAAGTTTTGGTGGGCCGGGAATTCAAACCCGCGACCCTCAGATTGCGAGTCAAGCCCCATAACCACTTGGCCATGCCATGCCCGCCCACTGTGGTCTGACAATTTGGTAAGAAACCGGCTCTTGGTTACTCTTTCTTCAAGATGCTACGATGAAGAATTTCGGTTTTTGTTTGTTTTGTTTTTACTTTATATTTAAATATTGCATTACATGTGCTTTTCATTGTTTTTTAACAACTCTAAACTTATCGTATGGCCTATAGTGTAGCTTTCAAGACTACATTCAAATGATTTATGTTTAACATAAGTTTTATTTGTCTGCTTGAAAAATAGCGATTATCTTTGATTAAAAAGACTTGGTTTTCTTCATCACGAGGCACATACTTTGTAATATTAAAAAAATGTAAAAAAAAAACACAATAGTGATAAATATCTAAATCAAACTAAACACCATGATATTTAAGACAAAACACAAACAAACAAAAGATTTTTTAGTGACAAAAAATAATTCACACATCATTTACAATTCTATCTTTGAATTTGCTCTGCCGGGTTCTTAATCTTGGTTTATTAGATCGGCGACATCTCGTGCAGTTCTATAAACCACATGAGTGAAAATAAATTATAAGTGAGTCTCTTGGAAGTAGGAATTATACAATGTAAATTTTTATGAGCATACAGGGATCATCATATTTAATTTATACCACTTCAGTAAATTATATTTGTAACCAAAATTCTTATATATTTCTATTTAATTCATTAGTACTAGTGAGTCTCGTTTGCAAATTTAATGTATAGTGTGGTTTTAGCAACTTTACAATACCATTCACGTATTACATTTAGGAAATATTAAAATTTTTAACTGCTAATAATGTACTGTTTTGGTAAAATATAAGTAACAAATATGTTCAAAGGTATTAACTGAAACATTAGAAAAAACTTATTGTATGTATTTATAAGTCCCCCGGAGAGACAG